TGGAGCCGGCTTATCCGTTCCAAAGAGCCAGCCGTATTGAAGTAAAGTAAGTAAGTATGTGAGTATAGTGACCGCAGTAAGTTGACGTACTTCTGGGGCATTCATTTTGAAGAAGGGAACCCATCAGAGCGTCGCGGTCAACTGAGTCGAACGTTCCTGTCAGGTCAAGAAACACTGCGATCGCTGGTCGACGGTGGGTGTGACGCAGCTCGAGGACCTGACGCAACGTAAAAATTTGATCACTACATCCACGGTAAGGCCAGAATCCGGCTTGCTTTTCACGATGTTGGTCTCTCTTAAGGTGGTCGAAGTGACGATCGGGAAGAAACTTATCCCGCGGTGGTTTTCGCAATCCTTGCGAGATCCTTTCTCGAGAATGGGAACGATCAGTGATTAGCCCAAAGACAAAGGAATGCTTTCTTGCGTCCAACTATTGCGCAGTACGTTAGTAATGGATCTTACGTGGCTATCACCCCCATCTTGAAGAGAGTGGGAGGGCGCTCATTATTTCTTGTTGTCTTTCCTCGTTTCAGCGCTTGAATGTAAGACCGAACTTCTGCTTCTGCTGGAGGATCGCACGACCCTGCCCACGGAGCTCCAGATACAGATGAACTAACCTGGATAGCGGAAGGCCAGCTGAACTGTCTGCTGAAGTATTCCGCTCAGCGAACAAGTCGTTCATCGCTATTGCGAATAGCTTGTCCCATCTTATCGCAGACTGTTTAACTGTAGTTCGCCAACCTTCCATATTGCGTATCAGTCGGAACAGTCTTTGACTATTCTCTGATGCGGCTGCTACTTCCATTTCATTAGCTATTGTTGCCCACCAGTTTTCTTGATCCTCCTGTAGGGTCTTCGTCAATCGACGTTACAGACGCAATCTAACCCTGTTTTGATCCTGGCAGGTCGGGGTTTGTCGTTTGATCCATAGGTGCTACAGACTCATCAGATGTACAATGCCTCCGTCGGGCTTGAGGCACAGATTCACAAGCAACATTCGCTGCAGAATGCATTGTTCGCCTAATCCTAACCCACTGCTCATCTACATAATCACTTTAAAGCGTGCTTAGCCCACGCACTAGCTCTGATTTATAGCGTGCACGAACTGTAGGGACACAGTCGATGGTGGGCTATCCGAGTTTACTGGTTTTATCGTCGACCAGTCAGTCAAAGAGTGAATTGCGTCAAAACTGATGCGAGGCCAGGTTCAACGCAGGTGGTCTAATAGAACCTGCAGTTTTGTACTGAACCACGCCAACGATAGCTTACTGCTATGTGGTTGTGTATTTGAGTTAGTGTACCACTTGAACTGGAACGCCATGTTGCCGTCCGTCGAAAGCTGTCTGAAGTTGGTACTGGATAGGAACAGATGATGGTGTGCGCAGAACTGAAGAAGTCGATCGTTATCTGTTCGTTGGCAGGGCAGACCACAACTACCACACAGACAAGCTTCTGGTGCGCTCAGTTTTTCATCTTCCACGTTAAAGTCACCTGCAAGTACCACTATGTCGGAGCTTCGGCCCTTCCGAATGAGATCGGTGAGTTCATCTTAGAAAGCGCTCTTTTGTGTATCCGAACTGCAATTGTTCGGCGCATATGCCGATACGATGAACAAACACCCTTTGGTGTTGCTTCCCTTCCGGACTCTGATTGAACCCTCGAGACGAACTGCACATAAACGACCACTGACGGGGATCCAATCGATAAGAGAGGACTCACCCCTGTTGCTGAGTACAATACCTACCCTGCGCTGACCTACTGTACTGGCTTCGCCGTTGCCTGATGTGCGAACAATGTATCTCGAGGACAAATCTGGCGCGCTCATGTGGCTTATAGTAGTGGGGTCCTGAATTCGAATCTCCGACACGCGGCAAATATCTGTCCCTAAGGATCCCATTGTACGCGCCAGACAATCTTGTTGACCTACCTGCATCAGAGTCCCGACTTTGAAGGCCCCCAGATTCAGTAATGACGAGGGTTCAGAATCTGCAATCCATTTCGTGGTACATTACTTATAGTGTTATTTGGCAACTACCTTAGGCTAGAGACACCCAAGTTGCTTGAGCGACTATTACAGATCGGAGGACGGGACAAATGGAGAGAACTGGGTAGGGAAGATACAGAATTAAACAAATTTAAAGTTTTCTGAACAGTAGCTCACCTATCACTACCCATCCCGCTCGATGCAACGGGCAGCGCGGTCCTGATTATCCTGCGCGACTACTGATGCAGTATGGAATTACTTTTAGTTTGTGTATCCATTTGGGTTCGATGGACGGGTAATGCTAGGGTGTCCAGCCCTTAAGCAGGAGAACGATTAGGGTTCTCCACCAAAGCCTTTAGTTCTGACAAGAACCTAGCCGCAAGGCAGCGGGTGAAGCGATGTGGAGGCCCATTTACCTAGATCNATTACTCCTCAACAATTTTTTACCGACTGAGACGCAAATTGTAGTCCAACTCCCAACCCGGAGGACAAGGAGACTGAACTTCTTTTGACCTCTACCCTTCGACCTTCCAGGCATAATTAGATCATCGACTTGACAAAAGCCATCTTATATAAATCTATCGTTGCTATTTCGGTTTCAGCAGTTCCCCTCCCAATGATCCTCGTTCATCTCCTCAGTCGGGTAATCACTCTTATCAGCTTTCTCTTCCCATATATCAAACCTCTATCTTCCAGTTTTCGTTTTTCCCCAGGATTGTGGAACATTCTGCCCATTTCCGTGCTTCCAAGCGCTTGTAATCTTACTCTTTTCAAAAGCACGATTAGAATATTTATTCTCACTTGAATGTTCCCTCATATACTTTCCCCCTTACAGTATGTCATTAGTTGTGGGAGTTTGTCCCTTTTGCTGTAAATCGGTTTTTATGTAATGAATAAAAACCTCGTCGAAGTTGCATAGACCAAATGTTTCCCCCTCGGCCAATTCTGATGCACCGACATTTTTCGCGGAAGATGT